TGTGAGACAAACAACGGTTAGGTGAACACAGCTATTATACTCTCTTTCGCAATATGTTGCGAGAGCATACAAGTTCCCAGCGGGATATGCTAAACATTGGTAAGCGAGCACGGTAAACGATGCAGATCACCCCTTTCGGTTACCATAGGAACGAAGAATTCTTCGATGCCAAAGTTAACGGAGAATTCTTCTATGCCAAGGTCAATAGTACAATAGAAAAAATTGCATATTAATTTTGGTTTATTTATGAAACTACTTACATGTATGAAATTCGTTATGAAAATAAGTATTTATGTAAAAAAAGGAATGGGTTTCTTTTAATTTTGTGGATGAGTCTCTTTTCTTTTTTTTTTTTTAAAGAAAGGGCTTTGGCGAGTCGGATGCTTTTTTTTCCATAAATTTCCATCAATAATAAAAACACGAAAAACTTAGCAAATAGTAACGCATTAAAGTGATTCACTTTCTCCTTTTTTAATTAGTCTTCTCATATTAATATTATTTCTTTATTTCAAAGTTTAAACACAAAATTAAACAAAATTTTTAATTAAAATAGCAGCTCCCCTAAACACAACCAACTTTTGACGAAATAATGAAAATATTTACTTATAAATTTTATTTCATCAACTTGTATTTGTTGTTTACATATTGTATTGTAACGCTTTTCATGTAAATTCTTGATTGTAAATATGAACTCAGTAGAATTTAGCCGCATAGCTTACTTTTATGCATTACCTAGTATCGAAGAATTCTACATAGAATTTGCTTCGGAGTATTCTTCAAAGAAAAATGTAAGCGGTAGACCATTACTTCTAACTATAGGTTTAGAGTAGCCAAATTAAATGGATCTGAAGGTTCAAGACATAACTCGCAGAAATTAATTCGTCTAGCCGATTCTATGCTGACAAAGTGGGTACTTTTGAATGTTTAATAAATTTTTGAAAGCTGTTTTTCTTGGACGCGTTGTGGCCCGTCCTTGATTTTTACTATTTCCAAAAACTAGCTCAAATAATCTTTATAAAATTTGGTGTGAAAAACAAAATTAAGTGCGCGGACGCATTCGTGGCATTTTCGTGTGAAGTAGTGATGACCGATATTTCACTACCGATGATTTTTTCACTGTGATTGAAAAATCGCATATAATAACAATAATAATACCCAACGATTAACCTCCACCCGCCCAACCGACGCGAGGGGCACAATCCGCGAACGAGCGGAATTAGCCGAGTCATAAAAGGCAAGGGAGTTTTAAGCGTTGCGATCTTAAGGAACTCAGCTACAGAAACAAAAATTTCAAAAGCCAAAACTAAGAATTAGATTAAAGTTTATAATTTTTAAAGCGGGAATGTTAAAATTAATATCAGACAAGAGAGATGGGCTACAGACTGACCCATTGATGAGTTTTACAAGAAATATTATACCAAGCATTTCCCTACGACTAGCGAGTGTATGGAGATTTATAAGCTTTAAACGGTTAGTGTAAGGGGGAAGATTTACATTGGAATCCCAATGCAAATGATTTAAGGCAAAAAGTGAAAACTTTTTTGAACGGACTCTATTTTCTCAGAATGAACTTGATTCCATACCGCAACTGCGATCACATTTTACAAATACCAGTTCGCTTCTTTGAACTGCGATTGCGATAGCAGTTCGAACTTGTGAATTGCGATAGCAGGCCAGAATAAGCTTGGGAAACTGTGGTTTTTATACTCTCGCAACAAAGTTGCTAAAGAGAGTATTATAGTTTTGTTCACATAACGGTTTTTTGTAAGTCCTAAATCTAAAAGAGTCAGATATAGGGTTATATATACTAAAGTGATCAGGGTGACGAGTAGAGTTGAAATCCGGATGTCTGTCTGTCCGTCCGTCCGTCTGTCCGTCCGTCCATGCAAGCTGTAACTTGAGTAAAAATTATCAAGATATCATAATGAAACTTGGTACTCGTATTTCTTGGCTCCATAAGAAGGTTAAGTTCGAAGATGGGCAAAATCGGCCCACTGCCACGCCCACAAAATGGCGGAAACCGAAAACCCATAAAGTGTCATAATTAAGCCATAAATAAAGATATTAAAGTAAAATTTGACACAAAGGATCGCATTAGTGAGGGGCACATTTGAACGTAATTTTTTTGGAAAAGTGGGAGTGGCCCCGCCCCTACTAACTTTTTTGTACATATCTCGAAAACTACTGTAGCTATGTCAACCAAACTGTATACAGTCGTTTCTTTTAGGCATTTCCGTGTACAGTTCAAAAATGGAAGAAATCGGATAATAAACACACCCACCTCCCATACAAAGGTTATGTTGAAAATCACTAAAAGTGCGTTAACAGACTAATAAAAAATGTCAGAAACACTAAATTTTACGGAAGAAATGTCAGAAGGAAGCTGCACCCAGACTTTGTTTAAAAATTGAAAATGGGTGTGGCCCACTTATGGACCAAAAACCATATCTCAGGAACTACTCGACCGATTTCAATGAAATTTCTTATATAATATTTTCTTAACACCCTGATGATGTACGAAATATGAGTGAATCGGTTCACAACCACGCCTGAAATCTCGATTATCACTTTATCATGCGAGAGTATAAAATGTTCGGTGACACCCGAACTTAGCCCCTCCTTACTTGTTTAATATAAAATTATTAACTTTTTCTTTACTAATAGAAACAAGCAAATCATACTACAACCATTGTAATACAAACCACACTATCTCGAAAGCTCCAATAGATATTGATAATGAGCCAGGAACTTCGAGACAACCGAACCGCTCCAACATTTGCGAAAATGTAGTGAAAAGAAACGCGGAAAAACTTGACTCAAGTTACATAACCCAAAAGAAAATTTGCCGCCAATAACGACAAAAGGTGTCCCCGCTCCCACCACAGTCGAGTCTACGTAATTGGAACGGACCCGGACTATTATTCGGCCAAACACTGTCAAATCGGCAGAATCTGTCGCTACAACAACAAAAGGTCTCCATTTGAATGTCGACTTGGTTGCGACGGCAATAGCAACATAGCAATCACTGAAATCACAGATATCGAAAAATCGCAATATTGCTCATCTCCAGTGTGAAGCTAATTTGGACAAAAGCAACGTTTATACGAACGACGAAGAGCGTGCCGGACGCCACGTCAAGAAAAGACGAAAACATTAATGAAGTGTATGAGTCGCGTCGGTGCGAAATTTGTGCTACGGATGGTCATAACTGATGACGAATCATGCATTTATGGCTATGACGTGAAACCAAAACTCAAACATCAATCCTCATTAGCAAGATAGAAATAATGCGCCAAGTTAGGTCAAATGTGAAGGTTTCTAACATTTCCAATCCGCCAGAAGAGCCGGGAACAAATATTGGCTTTGCATCAATATAACGCCTCTGCTCACACATTGTTGCTTGTGCGCGAACATGTGTCCAAAAACAACACAGACCAGGGGCGTTGTCTGTGTTGTTTTTCTTTTTTTTCTCTTGTTGTGCACAAAACTAAAAAAGGAACCTGAAAAGACATCGCAAATACAATACAATACAAACAATTTTTGTTGGTCCAATAATTAGTTTTCCTCAAAAACACAAAATTAAAAAAAAACTTTGTACCAGTAATTCTTTACGCATTTAGCCGGTATCAAAAAGATTTTTCCGAAGACTCCACATTCGTGTCGTCTCCCTATTTTCGTCAAATTCAGCTCATCAGGCGACTTGTATAAATATTTGATGGCATGATGACCGGATCAAAAATGGAGAATACTCTGGATGGGACACCAGTTCATAGACGATGGGTTGTCAGATTAGAACACTGCCTTAGCTATCCTTTGCACTCTCAATCGGCTGTCTCTCAAAACTTTATGCTGAACCCTAGTTTTGTCCCGTAGTAGACGTTTATTGTTGTTTATTTGTAAATGGTTATAATAACAACCGAGGTTCTTGGTTATATAATTATAAAGTGTTTTTATACATTTACCGCATCAACATAATATTATACAGCAACTTTATATGTCCGTGTTTACATATTACATTTCTATATGATCATGCTTCTGTGCACAAAAGTCAATGTAAACTATTTCAATATGTCAGCAGATTCCCTAACATGCGGAAAGGAGACGAACACTATGTAAAATAAGCCAAGAAACAAAATTTCTACGCCCCAAATATCAACGCCGTTTTCTCATCACTCTTCACCACATAGGTGCAACACAGTGTACACAGTTACATTCAGACAATCACTTTTGCATTTTTTAAAGTCACACATCGCTAACAGATGTGCAAATTTCATAACTTTGGCCATTTTCATTTATCATTAGGTTAAAATCTGCGCTGAATGCATAACAGGTCGGCCGACGAAACGAGTAACACACAAAAAACATTATTTCATGCAAATGCCCCTAATAAAACGCGCTTACATAACGGGGCGGACACGGGCGAAAACTGCGAAAATCCGAAAATCTACCGACGAGATTTAATGTGAGCTCATTTAGACGCCAGCGGTGTGCACTGACCATGGCAATGGGTGCAGCACGCAGCGTTTGGCGCCTACGAAACATGGCAAGCAACGCCCGATAAGCCGGTCGCTAACGAGGCCGACACACACACTCACTGACAGTTTCCGCAGCTGACTTTTTCTTTGTTTGTTTTCGTCATTTTCCTTAAATTCGGCTTTGAAGCTATTAAGTCTTTAATGTGCGAAAATTCAAAGCACCGGTCTGTTTTTGCGAACTCTATGTGTGTCGGTTTTTGTGAAGACGACCCTAGCGAATTACGTACAACGGTGATTTTTCGGTCAAAAAGCACATGCTCAGCATATACATACTCATATATACCTACACATTTTTTGGATGTGTTGGTCGGATTGGCGAGTCTACCTGAGAATCAGAGGGCATAGCAATAAACTTTTTACAGCACCAACGCTGTAATCCGCCTTGGCTATACTATAAATCTGTGTAACAAACAAGCTGGCCATTTCAGTTGAACGCCTATTCTTCTAACGCCTACATCGCCGGGAATTAAATCCGCCTAAAAAGTGAACGGTTCATATTTCAACATCGTAAAATGTCATCCTCGCGTGCAGTTTTTGTAACACTAACTTTCTTTGTGTGCATAACTTTCGTTCAAGCTGTCACTAATGTAGACCCGACATCACGCGAACTCGATCAATTCCGTTACTGCATGCGCCAATCGCAGCATCCGAGTTTGCGTGAGTGCATCGGTCGCACAGCCCTCAATTTCCTGCAGCGCTTCGATGAACAGGACAATTACACACTATTTAGGGATTTAGTTTCTACGAAGGACGATAAAATTTCGGCGCGTTCTTTGGTAAATTTTTTGGACACAGACCCTGTGGATTTTAGGTGAATAAACAATTTATTTTTACAATTTACTCGTGGGCAACGTGAAAAAGAATTTGAATAAAGTCAAATAAATTTCCATAGAAGCGTATTAAGAAGTGAAATTAATCAAGAGTCCTCTAAAAAGTTCACATTTTGACAATTAAATCTGTGAGAAAGGAAGATGAACTCAAACTTTCTGCTTTCTGGTTTTACTAATTATACGGAGAAGCAATTGTAGCATAGATTATTGTCGGATAAATATAGCATATCAGCCGAAAGCCTTTGATGCTAGCGCTGCGTACTTTAGTTTATTTAATAATTTGTTTATTATGTAAGCTTTAATAAAATAAAATAAAAATAAGTAAAAAAAAAATATATAGCATATAGCTGCGATCGGAAAAAATTCTTGTAAGGAACCGTTTGTATTTAAGGTATAACAAACTTACATTCCGATTATTTTTTCAATCCCACAAAAATAAGCTCGTAGCATAATATATCTGAATACCGTTTTGCATAATCCATCTAGCCGTAATATCTTTGTCATATTTGAAATATTCAATTGCACCAGAACATTTCCAATTAGGCTAGGCAAAGTTCTTATCAATTGCATTCACCACGAACACCAACAAACAATTGTTAGGCAGAGATGTATGCTAAATATAGTGAAACAAGCCTGTACCGCATTGGCCGAAATGGAAGGACTTAGCCGATATATATTGTACCACTTGTTAAATATAAATTCAAATGTGCATGTATTAGAGATGTTCAGCATTAGATCTCATTTCTCAAGTCGCGTAACTGATTTTCTTACCCAACAGACTTTTTGGATGAACTATAGATATTTAGTTTTATATAAACTTAATCTAACAACTTTTAGAATGATTTACTTTTTTTAGAAAGAGATGGATATTAGAACTGAAAAAGTTATATTACTATATTTTTATTGATGTGCGACTATCTATTCCAAATGTAAATAAGTTGATGACACTTAAAATAGGGCAATATCTAAAGTGGGCGTTGCCCAATTGTAAACTTTTCTGGTGACTGAGGTTTAACACTCAATGTTTGTGAGGTAACAGAGCTAATGCTCTCTGCCCAACGAGTTAGTGGAAAACACATAAATTAAAGAAGATCGTGAAGAATCAATTTATTTAATATTATTTAATTTCAATTACGGCCAGTACTTGATTATTTTTAACATTGTAGAGGAATATTGGAAAATGCCGGTGCCGTAATGGGTCAACGTGGGCTTGAATGGCATATGGATGCAATATATCCGGGATTAATGTTCAAGATTGGGCCCACTGCCGATACTAATAGTGTTGCGCAGTTTGTGCTGGATCCATCTACTGCTGAGCGAAACTTTGGCTATGAAGAGCCATCAACGGGTAAGTTGAACTTTCGAATACGCTATAAATCTCTGACCAGTGTTTTTACTTCATACTCCCTCCAAACAAAAACAAAAGCTCGCCTCTTAACGAAACAATACTTGCTGCCATTTTTGCTCGGCTTTAAATTCAACTTGGTCGCACTGGTGCCGCTTGTGTTCGCTGGTATCTGCTTGCTGCTGAAGAAGTCGCTTTTCTTGGCTAAGTTCGCCATTTATCTAAGCAGCTTTTTAGGCGTTGGTGGAGCTTTAACTGCACTCAGTGCTGGCGCTGGTGCAGGCGGATTTGGTGGCTTTGGACTTTTCGGCGGAGGCGGTGGTGGACCTCCACTGGGACCCTCGCCCTTCAACCCTCTCGCTCATGCATATGGAGGTGGCGATGGCTACTTACCCGGCAAAGCAGGTGTTTTCAATCAACACTATGAAAACGATGAACTTCATCACCATCCACCATATAAACGCAACGATCGTAAAGTAAACTTCGAGAAGCCACGTGAATATGCATCACGGGCTACCGTAACAGCAACAACGCCGGCTCCTGACCGATTTTACGACTATGAGAAGCAAGTAGCCATGATACACAATAGAAGCGGAAAATTGCGATCAACGAACGGAAAACTCGGTCCCAGTGCTTATGATGACGACGAAGGTGAGGTAAAAATTGCTGATTTCAAGACAACGAATCAAGAACATAATGGTTGGAAAGTCGTTGATTTGAGGGTGTGAACAAATGTCATTTTTCTCTGATGCGCAACATGTTCACAAAACTGCGTTTGTAAATGTTTGACAATTTAAGTTTTAGTAAGTTAAATTATTTATATGTACTTGTTATTACTATTATTAAGGCATAGTTTTACGTAATTAAAGGGCAGATTTTGTAAAGATGGTTGTCGTTATCTAATTAGATTTTTTAGAATAAATCGGTAATATTTATATCCACTTCCGCTCTCCCATTCAGCTGATTATTAATATTGAGACCTTTTGAAAACAGAATAGCTGGCTGAAGTCCACTGTACCGATTATTCCTTGATATCTGGTGTGTAATAATGGATCCCACTTCGGGTTGCTCTTAAACAGCTCTGATATGATGTGGACATACAGTTCGGAATAGTAACATCGTGGCGGCAGCATTCTTATTGCACCTCCTGCTGCCTCATAAGAATCGTTTAAGTTTTCCTCAATTTGACACTACGAGACCAAATAATTCTCATTTGATTCTACAGTATCAGATGGTGAGGGTAAATACTAATTATCGGACCCAACGAGAAACAAAATAGGGTTGTATTTTTTTTAGGTTTTTTCACGTTTGGGGATAATGTTGAACGTAGTAATAAACGATTTAGACACGGATGAACCACCTTTGCAATGAAACTTCACTTTAATCCATTTATCATGTAAAATTTAGTCGTCAGTATTTATTAATTATCGTACGTTTGGTATTTACGAAATGTAAAAATGTTTAACGAAGCTTCGTGATTTTTGAACCAAGTAGAAACTATATATTTGGTTTTTAAGACCCAACAGTCAAATATAGCAACTAAAAAGACCAAATGCAGAGTCAAACCAGTTTAAAAAAAAAATGTTCAAGCCTTTGAAATTATCCGGGTCATCTCTTATTTTTATTCAAATGATACATTTTTGTACTCTTGCAACAGAGTATAATAGTTTCCGTCTTGCAGTGGATTGCTGGCCAAGCTATTCAAACACGGTGGCGAAGGACTAATGAGGAGCATGTAAAATATGGTCGGTCGAAAGCACGAGCGACGATTAGAATTTATGTGTATTTTGCCGATCCACAAAAAGAGAGATTTACAATCTGCGCCAAATACCGCGGGATAAGTCTCCTAAACATCGCATATAAGGTTCTATCGAGCGGACTGTGTGAAAAATTAAAGCCCACCGTCAACAAACTGATTGGACCTTATTAGTTTGGCTTTAATTGGTAGCCCCTCATAACTAATACTACACACAAACTAACGTTGAGCAACACCAAAAGTCCGTCAGGATCGGAAAGGACCTTTCCAGATACTACAAGAGGTTACAGACAAGACGACTCCCTTTCGTGTGAGTTCTTCAGTCTAATCTTGGAGAAATGACTCGATCTGCAGAAGGTGATATCATTGGCATTTGACAACCCTACCGTTAGTTTTGCTTTCTCCAGAATGGATACGAAAGTTGAATGGTGGTGAACGAGAGCAAGACGAAATATCTCCTGTCACCAAACAAACAGTCGTCGCACTCATCACTCTTGACAGTCATTACTTCGAAGGCGTAGGTAATTTCATCTATCTTGGAAACAGCATTTGCGCCAACAACAACGTTAACCTCGAAATCCAACGCAGATTAATTCCTGCCAACAGGTGCTACTTCGGACTAAATACAGGTAGACAATTGCGAAACAAAGTCCTATCCCGACGAACTAAAACAAAACTCTATAAGTCACTCATTGCCCATTCTGCTATATGGTGCAGAGGCATAGATACTAGATAGATAGTCCTTTGCGCATTGGCAATGGCGAATACCGCATTCGATGGAACGATGAGCTGTATGAGATATACGACGACATTGACATAGTTCTCTCTGAAAATATTCGACGCAGTATCCGTCGAGGGAAGCAGAGGAAAAGGAAGACCTTCAATCCGTTGGAAGGACTAGATGGAGAAGGACCTTGCTTCGCTTGGAATCTCCAATTGGCGCCACCTTCTGAAAAGAAGTAACGACTGGCGCGCTGTTGTTGACTCGGCTACAACCGCGTAAGCGTTTTCTACACTAGTAAAGAAGAAGAAGAGGAAGGAGATTCGATCTAAATACTTTCTTCGAAGATTGTAGAAATTCCTTCGATAGTAAACTATAACAAATTTTATGAAGATACCATACTTCGTGAAATACAAAAGTTTTCCATATAAGGACTTCAGATCGTTCACTTTGTTTCACAGCTGTATGCTACAGTAGTCCGATATCGGCAGTTCCGGCGAATTCACAACTGCTTGGTGAGAAAAGGACGTGTTTCAGGTCTACTACGAGGAGTGTTCAAAAAGTATCGCGAATTTTGAATTTTTGCCGGTTACGAATATTCGAATTTCTAATTTTTTGTGGCGTTATGTTGGTACTCATATCTCTCGCTTATGCCGACAAGCTCGACCATTTTGAATGTTCATTTAATCGTTGACAGCTGCTTTGCTTGCACGTGTTTTGGATCGTCTTCGATTTTTACCTACTCAAAAAAATCGGTCAAAGAACCTGTATCAAATTTTGTGTGAATAACAAAATTAAGTGCGCGGATGCATTCCGAATGTTGACGGTGGTATACGGAGAAGCTACCTTGAACCGAAGCAACGTTCATCGGTGGTACAAATTGTTCTCAGAAGGCCGAGAAGATGTGACAAAAATTGGCTTTTGCACCACGATAACGCCCCTGCTCACACATCGTTGCTTGTGCGCGACTTTTTGGCCAAAAACAACACAATAATGATGCCGCAGCCACCGTATTCCGCAGATCTGGCCCCCTGTGACTTTGCCTTGTTCCTTAAACTGAAGAGGCCCATGAAAGGACGTGTTACGCTTCTCTTGACGAGATAAAGGCGGCATCGAAGGAGGAGCTGAAGAAGATTATAAAAAGTGATTTTTTGAAGTGCTTCGAAGATTGGAAAAACCGTTRGCACAAGTGTATAATATCTCATGGAGATTACTTTGAAGGGGACAAAATAGATATTCATGAATAAATAAATAATTTTTGAAAAAACACAAAATTCGCGATACTTTTTGAACACAGCTCTAATATACATATATCGAAAACTGAAGGACTAGTTCGCGTATATACAGACGAATAGACCGACACACTGGTGGACATGGCTACATCGATTTAGGTGGTCACGCTGATCACTTAATCACGTACTATACATACCTTCCTTTTCAGCGCAACAAAAATCGCAAACCTATTATTCCCTGTTGAATGTGTAAAAATCGTTTAACTGTGAAACAAAAGTACTCGAGCCATTACTTATACAACTTACTTATTCTCTTATATGGAATAATATGTGTGTCACAGCATCGCCTAACAGTTTCGGTTTGTATGGCGCTACAAACCAGACAAAGTCGTAGCACAAAAGCTACGTTGTATCATCACTGATTAGATGGCAATAAATTTCTAATTTCGTTTTTCATTTTACCGCTTTGACAAACACACTAATTACAGTGCTTTGAATAAGGAGAGCAGAATTTACAGAAAGACAAAAAGCCCCATATTAACCCAAGTAAATCGTTTTTACCTTTTGTGTCTCGTGCTGTCTGTCTGTTCTAAAAATATACACAACTTTTTCTCAAAGTCAGTTACATTGAGGTGTTTTTTAATTTCCCATTTTCATATTTGTATTACCAAATAATTTTTTCTACGTTTCTATAGGTTTTTATCTAAGTGGTTGATATTAACAACAACCGTAGGGCCGACGGAAAAAGTTGTGTGCACCCACCCATAGAATTCCTATAAATGCAGACAAATTAAGAGAAAACATTTTAGTATTTGAATAAAGGTGTCGGTTGCGGTTGTGTCCCGCTGTTGAGGTGAAACCACCAAGAAGAGGTCATAGTGTCTAGAACGAAATTTACATTCAAAGTGCAAGAAATTAATTGGTTTTACGAAATAAAATTTGCAATTGACGAAAATGTATGCGGTAACGTGTGGCTGTCAGTGTTTGTGTGTGGCAGGGCTTGTTTTGCAATTTTTGATCCTTTTCAAATGCTGCCCGATTACCGTGACCATAACAATACCAAGAAGGACAGCCAATAATGTGACTGATACAGTTGAGTTGATGACACTGCGTGCTGTTGGCCGCTCGGTTACACAGTGCTTGGCTGCAACGGAACAGTGGCCATGTTTGGAGAATCAATTGCTGAGGTTCGTCGATGCGGTCGCACAGGACAACAGCACATGGCAATGGGGAGATTACATTTTCGTCGAGAAGTTGACAGGCAATAAGAGCGAAAAACAGCTAAATTTTTCGAGAAATCAAGCACCTCGACAACGCTCAGTTCAAGCAGAAGGTGACAGCCAGCATAACGAGAGTGGGATTGTAGCGGGTTTGTTGCAACTAGCTAAAACGCGTTCAATTCGCTTGCAGTTGCCAACCTCCGTCGGAACACTGAAAAAAATTGGCGCTGGAATCTCGAACGCAATCGATGGACTATCGCTGCAGAATATTGCACCGCCTGAAACGTTGCCCGAAACGGAGGCGGCGCAAGCGGATGAAGGTACGCATCGACTATTCAATGGTCTAGTAGATGATAAATTAGAAACATTCAGTGCTAGCAGTAGTGACGACACAATATTCTTGCAAAATGACAAAGACAAGATTGAACTGGACAAGAATAAAGACAAAGACAGCAAGAAGAAAAAGAAAGAAAAACATAAGAAAACAAAAAAGAAAAAGGTAACTAAAGATAAAAATAAGCACAAGAAAGACAAATATAAAGATAGAGACAAAAAGAAGAAAGAAAAGGACAAGTGCAAAGGTAAGGACAAGAACAAAACAAAGAAAGACAAATACAAAGATAAGAATGAACACAAAGACAAGGACAAGCATAAGAAAAAACTAGTAATTAAAGAAGGACTTTCAAATAATTACAATTCACTTAAAGGACGCAAAAAGAAGGGCAAAGACAAAAATATGGCAATGATGGGTGGAATGGCGATGATGGCTATGGTCGCGCAAATGTTCCTCGGCAAAGTGATCCTGATCGCGGGCGCCGCCTTCGTTATGGCGAAAGTAGCACTGCTCGTTTCCGTACTCGTGAGTAAACACACAATTCCATACATACATACACACATAAGTTCATATAAGCGGTTTCCCTAACGGTCTTCTAAGTCTAGTTGTTCTTTATTCGAAAGCAATAGTTCCTATAAAATTAAACAATTAACTAACGCAAGGTATAAAACTTTACAACCCAACTATTTAACAAGTCTAATTTGAATTCAGCTATTGGTATTGCTTTAATTATCTTTACCATATGTTCGCAGCTTAACAATTCATAATTTCGTTACTAAATTATTTCATTAAATTCGGCTAAGCGGTCAGTAGTAATTTTAGTCCTATATTTATTTCCTATTTTCTATTTCCCAGTACAAAATTTTAATTGAAAATTAAGTCTTGGTGAAGTATTCCTTTCGGGTTTCGGAAAAGTGGAAGTAGTGGCAGAAATGTAATTCAATCTTCGGAACAAAGATTTGCAAAAAGCTTTCCTATGATTCTAATAACCGCACTTTAGGTTCAAATATTTTATCAAGCATCGTTTATATTGAGTTTCAAGTAGACCCAGCTTAAATGTAGACACCACCATTGTCTTACTGAGAAAGCCACCCTTACCATAAGACTTTTTCATCAGAAATTTCGTAAGGTTTTTTAATAAAAGCTCTTGAAATCAGGCCAGTAACACAAAAAAAATTTTTATTGAAATTGATATTTTTTCATCACCAACAACAACAAATACGGGAATATTTTAGAAATTACAGACATAACGGAGTATAAAGATAATTTGCAATTTTAAAATTTCTTAAAAAACCCATAAATGATTTCCGTAGTAATCTTTAAAAAATTCCAGGTATTTTGGATTATTTCAAAAACCCCAAGAGATACATAGGTCATTAGAATTTTGTCAGGCACCGAATTATATTTATTTAACCTCGCACGGTTACGATGAATGTCAATGACATCTAGATCGTAAAATGAAGTCGTAGAAATGGGAATGAAGTTCCTTTAGATGGTCTTTAAATAATCTAAACTAATTAGCTACGCCAGCAACAGAAAGCAACATTTCTTTTAAAGAGCAAAAAAATTTAAATTAGTAAACTCAAGTCTTAAAGCTGACTAATTTTGGCAATATCCACCGAATTAAATATCTATTATTACAAAACACTTCCAGTGCATCATCAACAATTGACTTTCATTAAATTAATCCAATTCATAAGCATATTAGAATTAATCCTTTAATTTAACAGTCATTTGCATACGCGACATTGAAACTTGTTTTTTAGGGCAGTCTCAAAAAGGGATCGACTGGAAGTAGCGTTAGCACGGAGCGTATTGTTGTAACCGGCCAAGGACATGGCAGCGGAGGTGGACACGGCAGATATGAGCACGATGAAGGATGGCATCGTCGCCACATGCCACATATTTATCCTGCGGCAGAAATAATCAGCGAAGGGCTACAGCCTGTCAAAGCTTATCATCACTCGCCTACGCCACCTCCTCCACCAAAAGCTTCCGCTAGTCATCAAAATCACCGCTATTACGTCAATGAAATCAACGAAGCAGCTAATGAAGACATAGATGATGGTTATAGACGTAGACAGGCGCAAGCTGGATTTCTTTAGAGTAAATTGAGATTATTAAGTGAAAGTGTTCATTATGACAAACATATTGATATAAGTGTGTAGCAAAGTAGAAAATGAAAAATCTTAAAAATGGGAAGCGAATATTTTCTTTATTACGCCGATAAGCTTACAGACTAGAACTTACTTGGCTAAAAATACATACAACACAACTAGATATATTAAGCATTAGGTTTAACAATGATATAAATACATATATGTATATAAATAAAAATGTAAATAACACCACTGTGCCTTACTAAACGTGAATAATTTACCTAAGTTTCAATTGTCATTTTCAATATTCCATATATTTCCTACTTTTTGGTGATCAGCTTTGGTTTGACGTAAGATCGCTTAACTGCGACAATGACGACTCTCTACAACAACGCCGCTTCGATGTATATTCCAATATATAACCACACTCTATACATTGACATAATTTAGCGTTATTATGAATGCACACGCGACGGCACCCAAGCGTTGTAAGCCTTATCCTGCATCATCATCTCGTCATCGATGCTGCGATGGTAAGAGCCACTTTCATGCCCAGCCTCGTACTCGCCCGCATGACTTGATGAATAGGTTTGGCTATGCTGTACTTGTGGGTGTTTCACTATTTCGTAAGTGGTTTTTTCACCACCCTCCGCCGACACCAACTTCTTGAGTCCAATTATGGCGCTGATTATGAGCGCAATTTTTCCCACGATCAGTGCCTTGCCTGCGATAATTGCGATAGAGTGGTAGGCCATCTTCAGTATGGCCGTCTTTAGCATTACAGCCGCAATAAATGGACCCAAATACTTCTTATCGTCGCCCTTTTTTTTACGTCCCTCATCTACAGCATTGTCAGCTTCCACGTCACCCAAAGCAAATTGTTTGAAGTAACCCATTGCCGTGCCAAAGATATCTTGCCCATTACGCTGTCCGAAAGTAAGTAGGCGCGGTAAATTCACCTGCAGCTGTCGACTATCAACAAAGCGCAAAAAACGTTCCAGTAACAGCGCATCCAAGCTTTTCATTGACAGATTATCCAAATCGCGATTATTCAGAATTAAATCGGCATTTGCGCTCGCACGGCCTGTCCGTGTCTCATTTTCCACCTTCTGGACAATTGTGACTCCCTCCAAGATATTTATGTTGTGCACTTTCAACGCGCGACCCAACATGCGTGCTGCCTGCACCTTGAAGCACCAAAAGAGATCATCTCGATCACCACAAATACCGTAAATATGCTTTAATGTACGCGTGAGTCCATTATCGAGCAGTGTGCTACGAGCGACTTTGTGGGGACTGCTGTTGCCATTACTGTTCTGAGCGGGCAATTCCAACAAGGTCGCTTCCTGACACAGTGCGATCAGTATTAATGTGATCCCTAGCCTGAAATTCACGTCCATGGCGATGAGATTCGGCTGCAGGAGAGCAAATTTATCCACTTATTACGGGCGTGTAGCGGTGGCGGCTTCTACCACATATCCTTGCCGCGCTGTTGCAGTGAAAGGAGAACTTCGAACTATGCGCTTATCTGTTTCCCTATATACTCATGAACGGCTTGTTTAAAATGTAGCAAAGGATATCCAGTTCATAGCAGCCTCTCCAAACTTTCAGCAAAATGCAACTGATCAGCGCCGCATGTGTGCCAATCAAATTTATACACTTTACCTTGCCACAAATAGTGCGGCGTCGCAATTGACTGCCACTGTTATTGCCGCTGCTATTGCTGGACCCACATGCCAAGTCTGCCAGAGCCGTACAAATCATTTAGTATTTTCCTTTGCAACCGATCTGCACACACACGTCCGCTTGCCACGCTTTTGTTTTTTCCTCGCATGCGCTGACTATTTAGAGCGTGTTGGATTCGTAGCCACTTACTTTTCCATTGCGGCCCGTTGGCTTAGAGCGATTACATTACAAGCATCGCTGCTGATTTGGTGCAATCTTTTGCCGTTGCTGACTGCTATTGGCTACCAATTGGAAGTGATCACCTAATTATTTATTTTAAATGCGATTTTTTATTGTTATTACAATCGCAAGTAGCGATCGGTGTTAGTGCTACAAATGTGGACTTGGTTGCATCTGTGGCACTGAGTGTGCGCAACACTTTCATAGGCTAACTTTTTCCACCCACTTTCTTCTGTAGATTAATCGTTTGCATTCACTAACTGTACCGTATTGTACGTTCGTGCCGAAATTTTATAGAAAACATTCTCATTTCTCTACTTGTTTTTGGTGACGTTCGTGCTGCTGCCAAACTGTTTATCGACACGCAATACACATTACTGGGTGCTTTATTACTTATGTACGTGTACACACACGCTGACTAAGAGAGAGAAATTTCCCGATTAACCTTCCGATACACAGGGCTTCCCAACCAGAGTGATATGATTTCTAAAAAAAACTCACTAATTTTTAAGAAAATTCAAATGTTCTTTTATTTGCTTTGCAGGAACGAATACGATGAAGACAGTTTTCGAGTATTTTTTCCACTAAATCATGTCGCATGTAATGAAAAGCACTTGCAATATGGACTTCTAAAGTTTGAAAAGAGCCTGGTTTACAGCTACAAATAACCCTTATAGAAGTAGTAAATTGGTGTGTTAAATTATAATTCTTTAGAGACCCTTCAAAACCATAATTTCTTGAAATAATTTAATCCCAAACTTATTTCACAATAATTCGCGTGCTGTGTGGCACCTAGGCTCGTCTGGTTGAAAGCACATGCTTTCAAGATCCACTTCCTACAACTGCGGCCGTTAAAAGTTGGTTGTCATCGATGTACTATATACCGCTCTCCATTAACAAATATGGTGTCATCAGCTTCATTTCAAACTGTCAATTAGGCTTCAATGATTGTACTATACATGAATAATTGTCGATTTTCTTCACAATAATATCGGCATCAGTCAAATTAACGTGAACCTCATCGGAGGAGATCGGCTTTTAAAAAACATTATTTTACATTATTCAAGTTCTTCCAAGACAAAATCAAGAAATTCACGACGTTTGCGGTGGTCCAATGTCTTCAGTTCTTGAGTGAGAACAATTTTATACGTATAATTTGATAATAAAATTAAATAATTTGTAAACGTTTGCTTGCGTATATCTTTCCATGATGAAATTGTGACCTTTACTGAATACAACGAAAAAAGCTCACAAAAGAAATCTTATCATACCCATCGGAAGACCCGGTAAATTTATAGTCTGTATGTAAATACAAATATATAAGAATGGATTTAAAAACACTCATTGATGACAATGAAGAAAAAAGTAAGGAGGGTTAAGATAAGCCGGCAGCACACAGTATGTTGCTAAAGAATATACAAGGTTTGTTATATATATAAATGATCTGACTTTGACGACGAAGTTGAAATACCTTGAACTACCAGAACTATGAAAACCTATAACTAAGCCGCAAATTAAGATACAAGTCTGTAATTTGATACATTGATTGTTTGAAAAATAATTAAAAAAAAACTTAACTCCGCCTGCTACTAAATTTAAATACATATATCACAAACCCATAAAACCCTATTAACCAAATTTGCGGAAAAAAATATTTTGACCACCTCCTTCTGGAGCGATATCGGATAACAAACCTCATTTACTAAAAATAAACGCTAATAACACTGGTAAACACTTTGTGATGATTTCTGTATAACTTGGTGTACTTTTATTAATAATATGATATATAACGTCTTTGTTTATGTGGGATCTAAATATTCATTTCTGGTCGAATATATGTAACATTAGGTCAATTGCAAAGTTCCCGGCCGGACACATATGTAAATGAATAGAACTAGTTAGCCCTAACCTTCAACAGGCGCGAGAATACGTAGATTGGATTTTATATTTCGGGATTAGAAAACAAAATCAAATAAAAATCATCGTAAATTGCTTTATTGTTTTAAAAAAATTCCCCTATTAAGATCTATAAACTTTTGCATGCGTATGAAAAAATCCTTAAACAATTTTACTGTACGGGAATAAAAAGAAGTCCTTTGGTGCTAAGTCCAAATTATGCGCTGGATTATTCTACAAATTGATGTTTTAAGTACTAAAAAATGCGTTGTTTCAGTTTCCTGATTGAAAAGACTTTCCTTGAAAGACACTGGCAAACAAATTGTAGTATATACTACTCAGAAATTACTGTTCCACGTTGTTCTAGTGGCAGTTCTTCCAAAAAGTGGAAGTGCTTCGTAGTCGAATCGCTTTGTTAGATTCGGCTCTTTTCCATGTAGTCGAGTGCTGTTTGCTTTCGGGCTCATTCGTATAAATCCATGATTTTCAATCTATTACGTTGTCACAAGTCTTGAAACACCATTACCATATTTTTTAACATTTCTATCGACTCATCGACACAAGCCTTTATTGAGCTACCAGCAAATTGTGTGGGATACAACGTGAAACAAGTTTTTCTACAATCAAATTTCCATGCAATATTGTATGCTAGTCTCACTAATGTCCATAGTTGTCTCAATTCCACGATAGGTCACATGATCTATGACCACGATTGGATTCACTATACTATCGATAAATACTGGTCCTTGATGAAGCTTCATCGCCAAAAGTTTAAGAAAGTGCGTCGATGAACTGATAATAAAGCCTAGTCTTTTCGTGGAAAAACGGCAATGACGTCTGTATTTTGAGATGGGCATAGAATAGTTTTTATTGACTACCTATTAAAAACGAAAGACCATCAGCAACGTATTGTCCAGATCTGACCCCCAGATACTATTTCCTGTTCACAGATCTAAAAAGAATGCTCGCTAGGAGAAACCATTCGTCGAATAAAGAGGTGAATGCTGAAACTTTGACCTATTTTGAAGTAAAGAACAAATCGGAATAAAACAAGTAAAGGAGCGTTAACCTTTGTCCTTTACTGGTGTAACCGAACATTATATACTCTTGCAACTTGCAGTAATAAAAGACGATCAGAATCCAAACAATTTCATATATATATATACTATATGGAATTATGCCATTCACGGCTCCCACGTCTCTGT